GTCTCACTCTCACTCACTGCCTCACTCTCTCACTCACTCACTGATTCACTCTCACTCAATCACTGTCTCACTCACTCACTGCCTCACTCTCGCTCGCTCACTCACTGTCTCACTCTCAATCACTGTCTTAATCACTCACTGACTCACTCTCGCTCACTCACTGTCTCACTCACTGCCTCACTCTCTCGCTCACTCACTGTCTCACTCTCAATCACTGTCTTACTCACTGTCTCACTCTCAATCACTGTCTTACTCACTCACTGACTCACTCTCGCTCACTCACTGTCTTACTGCCTCACTCTCTCGCTCACTCACTGCCTCACTCTCGCTCACTCACTGCCTCACTCTCGCTCACTCACTGTCTCACTCTCAATCACTCACTGTTTCTCTCACTCACTGCCTATCTCACTCACTGCCTATCTCACTCTATCACTGATTCTCACTCACTCACTCACTCACTCACTCACTCACTCACTCACTGTCTCACTCACACTGTCTCACTGCCTCATTCACTCACTGACTCTCACTCTCTCACTGTCTCACTCTCTCTCACTGCCTCACTCACTCACTGTCTCACTCTCACTCACTCACTCACTGCCTCATTCTCTCACTGTCTCACTCACTCACTCACTCACTCACTCACTCACTCACTCACTCACTCACTCAGTGACTCACTCTCAGAAAACAAAACAAAACAAAACAAACCCCGTGGAGCATTCTACTCGGACACACTTGGGATCAGCTTGTGTTGGCACAGACTTGACAGCAACTCAGAACAAAAGAAGACAGATTTGCAGAGGGGCCAGGTTGCAGGTGTGAGAGGGGGAGGGCTGGAGCACGTGGCCTCGGTAAAGACCATAGAGGGGTTGATTCCAGGAAGGGAGTTCAGCTGTGTTGCCTGTTGGGGAAAGGTCAGATAAAAAGACAGCTTTTATCATCATTGGACTTGGCGCCGCGGAGTTCAGGTAGCAGCCTTGTAATAAGAGCACTGTCCACGGGGAGGCAGTGCAGATGCCTGAATGGAGGAAGAGGAGGATCAAAGGGAGGTGGAAGGTGGAGAAAGCAAGTGTGACGCAATCCTTAAACCGTCTGGTGGTGAGCAGGGGCCGTAGCTAACGGGGGCACTGGGGACCCTGGGGTTTTGTAGGTAGTTTCAGGAGGGGAGCAATGGGGTGAGCAGGACCAGGGGAGCAGGGCAGGTAAGGTCTTTGCCAAGGCAGGAGAGACGGGGGAGCAGGGCATGTGCTGAAGAACGCCTGTGAAGCGGTCATAAAGGGCGCCGGTTAGCATGGGTGGTGATCCAGGTAAGTTGTTGGGTGGTGGGAACATCAGGGTGCTTACCTTTGGGGGCTCCTTTACTCTCTGCTGAGGGTAAAGGAGTCAGGGATTGGAAGTCTGAGGAGAGTGAAAAACAGTTGGGAACCAGGAGGAACCGAGGAGGTTACATTGGTTGGAGCACAGTTTTTCCACTCCTCACTACCGACCTTTTGGGTCAGAAAAGTCCGCTGTGGGAACCATTGAATGCCAAACACCAGCGTTCTTCTTGGGAGTGTGTGCTCTTCTGAGTACCAGAGGCGCTTCAGAAATACCACATGGGCACGCTGAGGAGGTACCTGTCTCTACTAGCTCCCCCTACTGGTGGGCACCTTGTCCACAAGCAGATTCAGAAGCTATGGTAAAACAAAATTGCTTAAAAGGGCTAAGTGACTTAGGAGACAGACTGGAGGTAAGGGGATCGTACACCCGACCATCAGGGGAGAAGCACGTGGTGTACAGTAGCGACTGAATTCTATTTTTATCCAATGCGGTGGATATGTGTTCGACACGAGCGAGGTTTGAGTATGTGTTTCGCATCTCCCCTGCTTCGTACCTGCAGGTGGTTGAGCTGGGATAGCTGGGCTGACGGTCCCCAGGTTGGTCCACCGAGAAGCAAGCCCAGCTTTTGCCACGGCCCGCTGATAATTGTCGTAAAGGGTCTTTCCATACTAGGAGGCAAAGAAAAAGGAGAAAGGAATTCACTTATTCTGAACCCTGGTAGTCCGTCTCATTATGCACATACGGCTTTTTCCTACTCTTCACTGAAGTTTTGTGGGTCGGTATAATCCCTCAATTAAAGAAAACCCACAAATTGATTACGTATTATTGGTTATTAAATAATTGTTCAGATGATCTCAGTTAATACTTCTGCCGATACGCGGAAGAAGAGCACTAGCCATGCAGTTCTGATCTCCGTCTCTACCCGAGTCTGCGTTCGAGAACATCTTGCGTTTCTTCTAGGCACACAAGGGTGACAAAACTCTTCCGCCGTCAACGCTCCTCCATCAAATGGACTTGACGGCAGTGGGGTTGGTTTGCCTTTTCTCCATGAGTTATCGCAGGTGGCTCTTTATCACGCCAACCTGTTTTTGAAACTCAACAGGCAAATAAGCCAGACACTACCTGTGATTGTAGAGGAGGCTGGCTCGGATTTCACACGTGCACACAGGCTGAACACAGGTAGGGAGTCGGTCAGGACGTCTGAGAAAGGTTCAAGTCCAAATGCTGTCTCACCTTGGCAATCCGGATTCCTGTGACCCACTGGCTTAAAGTCCTTGCGTCATCGCAGCAGAGGTACTTGATATACTGGGACTCCTTTTGAATTTGGGGGTGCTAGAAAGAAGTTGCATTAAAAACCATGGATGCATTATTAATTTCTTAGGAGTGCAGGATTAAAAAAATGAAACCTTTTAAATGGAATAGATTTATAGATATGGTGGCAAAAATGATCAGTTACATATTTAGTGTTTAAACAAAAAACAAAACCCAACCAACCAAAAAACCCCAAACTCCTTGCTGTGAAGATGATTGTGACTCATAGCAACCTTACAGGATACAGCAGAACTGCCTTGAACTGTTTCCACATTGCACAAGGGGGCTTGGAAAAGTTTCGCGACTTTACAGTCTTGGTACCCTTGAGGAGCAGTTCTGCTCTGTTCTAGGGTCACTGTGAGTTGGGCACCAACTTAGAGGCAGTGGGCTTGGTGGATTTGTAAAAGATTTTATTGGGGATTCTTACAGCTCTTAATTTTTATTATTATTAATTTAAAATTAATTAAATTAATTAATTAATTTAAAAGTATTAATTTCGTATCTTACACCAACCACTGTCTCCCTCCCCCCGAGGTTTGTTCCCCCCTACACTCCCCACCTTCCCACTACTCTCCTGGTATTGTGACTCCTATTTCTGTTCCTGAGGGGTTTTTCTGACCTGGATTTCCTGTGTCCTGAGCTCTTATCTGTACCAGTGTACATGCTCTGGCCTAGCCCACAGTGAAAGGTGGGACTGGGGTCATTATAGTGGGGGGTGAGGAAGCCTCAAGCAACCAGAGAAATAGTGTGTGTTTCATCGGTGCTATACATCACTCTGTTGACTCATCCCTTACTTGTGACCCTTCTCTGACGGAATGTCACTTTGTCTACAGATGGGTTTTGGCGTTGATTTGGCATCAGCTTTTCCCACTGCAGCCCGTCACTGTTTCCTTGAGGGCTGCTTCCATGGGTGTTAATTGTGGATCCAACTAAAATGAAACCTTGACAAGCTCAGTCTCTTCTCCATCTCCCGTTATGCTTCTTCAGCCAGTTGTGGAATTTTTTGTTCCATGACGAGGAGTAATCCCAACTGAAGGCTGCAGTTTTGGATCTTCATCAGCCAAGTCCTCTTCATATGGAAGGTTGATAAGTCTTCCATCAATTCTGATGCCATGGTCGATTTCATTGTCCAGCTCCTCTGATCATTGGTTCGGTAGACACAATGATTAAGTATGGCGAAAGGATACAGCCCTGACACACACCTTTCCTGATGTTCAACCACGCAAGCGTCCCCTTGTTCTGTTTGAACAATCCCTTTTTCCTCTGCATCCACACTTAAGCACAATGGAGTGTTCTGGGGCTTCGATTCACTTGTATGATCCACAGAGTACCACACAAGCAAGCATCTTCCTGCCACTGCCTGATTTCGGGTGTAAGATCCGTCTTAAGGATGGAATGATATCCTTCAATCCACATCCAAGTTCAAATGTGAATTCCTAGCAGTTCATTGTCAACGGACTGCAGCACCATTTTTTGGAGCGATCTTCAGCCTCATTACACTTATGCGCAGGAAGGAGTTTCTGCCTTCCGTTGGCTCTCCTTTCTTCAGAGCAGGCACAAATATGGATCTTTTCCAGTTGGTCGGTCAGGTAGCTCTCTTCCGGATTTCTTGGTATCGACGAGCGAGTGCTTCCAGTGTCGCTTCTATTAGGGAAACAGCTCCGTTGGCATTCAGACCATTTGTGGGGCCTTGTGTGTTGCCGCTTTCGTGCAGTTCGGACTTCTTCCTTCAGTAGCCTTGGCATTGGATCCTAGCCTGCCTCCTTAAATGGTTGAATGTTAACCAATTCATTTGGATGCAGTGACTGTGCATTCCGTCCATCTTCGTTTGATATTTTCGGCATTGTTCAATATTTTGCCAACAGAATCTTTCAAGATTGCATCTCGGGGCCTGAAAAGGTTCCTCAGTTCTTCCAGCGTGAGAAATGCTGAGTCTGTTTTCCGTGGGGTTTCCTAACTCCAGGTCTTTGCACATTTCCTGAGACTACTTGTCTCCTTGAGCCGCCCTTGGAAATCCTTGTCTGTTCGTTTATATGATTGTTTCCTCCGTTTGCGTTGGCTGCTCCGCAGACCACACTCTCTTCCATTTTGGTCATTTTTTTTCTTTCTTCAAAGCTATGTATTTAATTTTTTTTTTTTAACAAAACAACCTTAACTCCTTCAAAGTACTCTCCATGATAATACATTTGCCAAATCTGTGATTCCGTTCTTCAAGCTCATCTGTTTGGATGCTCACAGCGCCTCCCTTGTTTATTTTAATTCACCTCGTCTTTGGTGTCATCCCACAATGCATCTGGCCTCCAGCCGAGTGTTGAATGCATCACGTCTAGTCTCGAGTTGCTCTCTGACTCAGGGGAGATATACCCAGCGTCCTACGTTGGCGTTCGTGGACATGCTTTAATTGTCTTTGCAGAAAGATTCACGAGTGATAATAGGACCTGAAATACATCCTTTTAGCTTTTGACGTCAGTCGAGGAGGGTCTACTTTAAATCCGTGCCATCAGTTCCCATACTTGGCTGCTACCAGAGCTGGAGGAGGTTCGAGACTCTCAGAGAAGCCTCACAGGAAAGACCTGGTGAGCGGTGTCTGAGAACCCAGCCACTGGAAACCCGAGAAGAAGCAATGTTACCCTCTGGCACACATACGGTCACCACAAGTGGGAGTCATGTGGACAGCATCGAATTTTCAAAATAGATTTTTTCCTCCCCCACCCCATTCCTTCAGCTTTTAGCATTCACATTAGCATTATTAAAGGACTACTGGACACCCACTTGCTTTAATTATCACACTCTCTCCCCTAAGGCAGCTCCTGGGTGCCTGTAGCTTTCCCTTCTCACCAGCAGATGGCAGCAAACACTTTTGCATCGCTTGTTCTGGACGGCTTCAAAGCTTACTCCTTCATCCTGATGCTTAGAGTTTATGTTTGCAAATGTTACACACATACTTTTCTCCTTTGGAGGCCTTTAAAATGGGAAATCTGTCAGTTCTGACAATTTGGTCTAATAGTAAAAGACATCTGTTATATTAATTAACCAAAAGGTAGTATTGATGAAAAACCCAGCAAGTATGCTCCCTGGATGGAATGCAACTTTCTACAAGCGCCCGGCAGCCTTCCCCGGACCACAAGGTCCCCAAGCCAAACCGCAGGCCGGGTCTTTCAGCACCAGTGAGACATGAGAAGCACAGGGGTCTCTTCAGCATTTCCCTGGTCATGAATTTTCCTCCTGCGTAGCAGCTCTATCCTTTTCCTGGGCCACTTGGGGAGTCGATACCGTAATCTTGGGCTGGGCAGGTGAATGAGTTGTTGGGGGCGTCAGATAAGAAGCAGGTCCCCAGGAGCAGCGACTGTCAGTCTTGCTGCACTCAGGGCAGTGAAGCGTGCGCAGTGCCCGCAAGGTAAACAATCAAGTCAGTGTTACTCATCCACGCGCTCAAACGGAAGGACTATGGGGCGGACAGCAGTCAGGCCCTCTTCACTGGACTTGTCGCCCTGGCTCCTCTGGTGATGGGGAGGCAGGGTGTGCACAACTGCGGTTCATTCTTTTGCACATTAGTGGGGGTCAGCTTTACAGATTTCCCTGCAGTACCTGTGTGCTATCAATGCATCCCGGAGAAGGGAGCCTCTGGGGACCCCTCAGGGTTCTTCCAGGCCTCTGATCCTATGGCCCGAGGGTGAGCTACCGATTGGACGCAAGAGTCCTTTCTGACGCCATTGGAAATGCAGGGTGTTGGGGAGGAAGTGCGGAACACCACAAATAGACCGAGGCAGGAGGAGGAGGAGGAGCCCAAGCTGAAGAGGTTCAAACAAGGACGTCTTGATCCAAGAGGCTAGGGAGACCCTACTGGTCTTATCAGCAGAGGTCGGGAGAGAAATCATTAGTAGGTCCATCATTCCACAAAGCCAGAGTGACCTTTGCTTGCCTTGCCCTCTGGTCATGCCTTGGGACTTGGCCAAGGAGTTGACTTCCTGAATCTCTTGCAGGATTTTTTTTTTTTGGGGGGGGGGCGGCAAAAAGAAATCATGCTGGTACAGTGCCGCAGGAAAGACTCTCCTGTGATCAATCTCATTATTCTCAGCCACGAAAAGGGAGCCGCTCTCTTAGGACATTCAGCACAGCATACAAAGGTCAGGGTGCTCACAAGACACCCCAACTCTGAGGGTCCTGACGATCCTCTCCGCTTACAAATGGTGAGACAGAGTGCCAGGGACATGAAGCGAGCTGACACAGGTATGGCCGCCTCGGAGAGCTCGGTTCCGCGCGGAGCCACCTGTGTACGGGGTTAACCCTTGGCTGCTAAGTGCAAAGGTTGGAAGTGGGGGCCAGCTCAGGGGCTCCTGGGAGGAAAAGCTTGGCAATCTACCTCCTACAAATCACCGTGGAGACTGTGGAGCACAGCTCTCCTCCGACGTCACCCTGGGTGGCACTGTGGGCCACCGGAAAGGTGGAAGATGGCACAGGACCGAGGAGGGGAAGGACAGCTGGCAGTGGGTTGAAGGAGAGTCATTTCAGATGGAAACTGACAGAACTTGCTGGTGGAGTGGAGGGGAAGTGCAAGGAGAGGGAATTCCAGGGTGGTCTCTGCTTCTGGTTTGGAAGTACTGATGGGGGATGACACGTTGCATCCTGGGAGGGAGGTCAGGAAGAAGGCATTTGTGAATGGCGAGTAGGCAGAAATGCCTGTCTCACAGGTTACAGGCGAGGTGCTTCTTGGACATGTAGCTACCATACGTGCAGGTCTAGGAGAGGAGAGGCCATTAGCTACAGCCTGGGACTTATTAGCACACGGGCAGCGGTTGCTACTGTTGTTGTGAACATGATCTCTCAGACAGAGGGCAAGCAGCAGGGGTCCTGTGAGAAACAAGTACCCGACACAGTGAACACGCTAGTGTTTGCGGAGGAAGGAGGAACAGCAGCAAGGCCCCAGGGCACCTGAATCGCGAGGGGTTCAGGTGAAGATGATAGAGTGAAGATGTTGTCAGCAACGCAGGTGCTGTCGCGGATATTGGGGAAAGGCCACTCACTGTTGGCTAGAAACCTGCCTGCTAGCGGTGCCCATAGCGGGCACACTCTACAAAGTCAGAAATTTGGGGGCCACTGGTGTCTTCCCACACCTTGGTAAGACTGTTTTTTTTGGATAGAACATTTTAAGTGAATGAATTGTATTGGATACTGTCTGGCGCGCTGAACATTGTGGCGTGCAGGGCCTATGGACCTCAAGGGGTTTGCGGTAGAGGGAAGTTGAAAGCCAAGGTGTGTTACTTGGAGGCGGGCGGGGTGGGGGGGGATACAGAACTGAGGGGAGGGATTAAGAACCCCGAGCCCAAGGGCTGTAGGACCAGGTGGGAGACTTCTCTGGAAAGCAAGTGCAGGTGTTGACGTGCAGTCCCAGATTAGCTGGGGGAGGGCCTGCCTTGGAGGAAGAAACCATCTTCTTCTGTCCCCTTCTGAGGTAGGACAGTCTGCGTCGGCCTAGTTGACAGCCTCACAGGAGGAGAACAGAGCAACTCGGCCCTTTCAGGCCAAGGTCGGGTGTGCCGAGTGAGGTGCTCGTACGTGAGAAGAGGGCTGAGAATGGCCAGGGAGACAGAGAGAAGGTGGACACGAGGGAGACCAGGAGGAAGGCTGCTTAGCTGCTGTGGGTGACAGAGGTCAGGGTGGTGGTGGAACTCGGAACACAACAACGGGATGACTCATCTGTCAAATGTGATCCCCAGGCCCCTCTCCTCCCACAGGCAAGGAGAGAGAAGGCACCGGGTTTCCTAGGGGACCTGTGCTTTCCAGGTTGTGACCTTGCAGATCTCCTCTGAGGTCCCTTGAGGTGGGTGTGAACGGCCAGCCTGCCTGCTGGTGGCCAAGAACTCAACCACTGGCTCCACCCAGGGACCCCTGGACTCATCAACTAAGAACCAGACCCATTGCCCTAGGGTGGCTTCTGACGCCTAGCAAGGCTCAAGGGCAGGGTATGACCGCTGATAGAGCTCCCAAGGCAGGAGCTCCGCACCAAACAGAGGGCCACATTGTTCCCTCATGGAGTGCCCAGTGGGTTCAAACCACTGACTAGTATCCTAGAGCTTTAGCCACCAGGGCTCCTTCTGAACAAGAATAGTGGTTATGAAAAAACAGACAACCGCCCCTCCCCCAAACCAACCAACCTCAAAGAGGATTCTCAGTGATTAAAAAGAGGAGTACTGGTACTTAAAGATTAAAACTCACTGCCGTGAAGTTGATTCCAATTCAGTGAGCCTGTAGGACAGAGTAACTGCTCCTGTGGGTTTCCAAGACTCTTTATGGTAAGAGAAAGCCTCTTTTTTTTTTTTTTCCTCCCTGGAGCAGCTGGTGATTTCAAACTGCTGACCTCGTGGTTAGCCCAATACAAAGCCACTATGCCACCAGGGCTCCTATAAAAAGAGGAGTCTGAATGTCTACAGGAAACCACATCATGTCCTGCAGCCTCACTGAAACCAATACTTTTCAACCAATCTTATGACTATAATAGCAAGGAAAAATAGGTGGGCAGAAATGTCTAGAAAATAATGATGGCGACATATGTACAAATGTGCTTGTTATAATTGATGGATGGATGGTTATAGAAGCTGTACGAGCCCCCAATAAAATGATTTTAAAACAAGAAGTTGAAATAATTAAATAAGACAATGAGGGCGCAGTTATTGTATTCAGCTCAAAGGGACACAAAAACCAGCTTACCAGCCTTAACCCAGAACTTTGCAGGCATAGAAAGATTCTCACACATCACCCTTGTGATTGTAAGAGTGACCCGTCTACTTAAAGACTGAGCGAGGGTTCTAATTCTTAAAATGCAGTCATGATCCACTTCTGTTAGTTTCTTAGTTGTTTCTCCAGTACCTTTTGCTCTTTATTTAGAAAGTTCTTAGATGACCATTTCCTTTGAACAGCTGTGTATGGTGACGGCCAATGGAAGCCACAAAGGTGTGGTCAAGCTGCCTATGCTCCATCAGAGATTGGGGAGTACGCTTCGGTTCAGGTGTGTCAAGAGCACACACCCTATAGTAACGGGTGTGTCAAGAGCAGTCATCTCTGAAACAACATGGCAGGCTCATGATCATCTTCAATCATGTGGTTGGGCTGGTAACCACAAGACTGTCAGTTCAAATCCACCAGCTGCTCCAAAGGAGAGAGATGAGGCTGCCCGCTCCCATAGAGGTTTGCGGTCCAGGAAACCCAATCCAGGGCCAGTGTGAGCTGGAATCAGCTTGCCGTCAGTGAGTCTGCTTTCCCGAGAATGTGTTGGCTACACACTGAAACGTAAGTGTGTCCTTCATTTGTGAAAACGATGCAAACCTATACCAGACACTTGGAGCGATAATCTTTGGAGAAGGGATGCTTGTACCAAGGAGATACAGATGTGTGTGTTTGTGCGCGGCGCGCGCGCACATGTGGCGTACATGCGAGCATACACCCACAGGGTGTCCAACAGCAGACATTTACAGAAACCTGGAGAGATGGGTTTCTTTGTGGGCTGGAGACTGACCTGCAAGGGAACCTTACCCAGGAACCTGGTCTCATCACCACCATGCTGCGCCAACTTTCTTCCAGATGGAAAATGATGAACCCTGGCTCTCAGAGAGGGGAAATTCTGTGCACAGCCCCACACTGTGCCAAACATCATCAGACCATCCTCACTTTCTGATGGGAGATGTGCTTGCTGGGGCTGACGTGCTTGAAGAGGCTGACGAAAGGAAAGGGTTTTATGGTGTCTGACGTGATGGAGTGGCCTGAACAACTGAACTGTATAAATTCCCTTTACAGGAGTCAGATGCTATATTTGGCAGATAAAAAACCATTATCAAGTTTCCACGATATGGTGCTAAGGTAAACCTGCCCCAAATCTGACCGCACACACGGTCTTTGGATAATACATATTTTTTTCAATAATCATTTTATTAGGGGCTCATACAACTCATCACAATCTGTACATATGTCATTTGTGTCCAGCACATTAGTACCTATGTTGACTTCATTCTCACAACACCCGCTTTCCACTTGAGCCCTTGTTGTCAGCTCCTCATTTTGCCCCTCCCCCCTGCTCCCCCTCCCCCTGAACCCTTGATAATTTATAAATTATTATTATTTTATCATCTTACCCCAGCCGATGTCTCCCTCATCCACTTCTCCAGATAATACATATTTTAAAAGGTGCCAAGCACATAATGAATGTTATTGTCCTTCCCAACAAGACTTTTTTCCTAGGGTTTTTTGGTCAAGTTCTTGAAAGAAATGAAATGTTTTTCTTGGACTTATCAAGAAAACTGCAAACCACATTTGTTCAAAATGTAGACCTTTTCTTTTCAGAAGTGGTGAGGGCCCCAGGTGGGCAAATATTTTCAACTCAGACAGCAGGCATTGTGGGAAACAAATGGAATGGCTTCCCACTTACCCTATTTAGGCTGAAAGCAAACCTGGTATTATTTTACGCAGGGGCAGATGACTCAGTAAGCAAGATAAGCACAGGCTTACTGTGCTTGCTGGTTACTGTCAGGGATTACCTATTTGAGAAGAGGCTTGCCCTCACTGGGAAGGTGCTGTGGGGTTGGGAGGGAGTCAGATGCCAGCCATACCTAGGAGCTGCATCTTCGATGTACTTTGGGGGGGGGGGCAGGATATGAAATGTTCTTGACAGATTAGTACAGAAGCACAAGTTTGTCCTTGCCTACCTTTCTTCTTCTTTTTCTTTGTCTTAAGAGGATGCACTCATTCAAACTGCTGATAGTCTACACTGAGGATCTCTCCTGACATACCTTGAGGACAAAGCAGCAGTCAGTGGGAGCTTTATATTTCACTTTACACTGGAGCCCATAGTAAATGTTGACATTTTCAAACTGTATGAAACATGCCAGATCCCGAGATGTCTGAAAGGGAAGAGCACAAATTAACCTGAGTGACTTGGCAGCGAGTGTTTTTCCAAGGTTGTTCTTGCTGGGACAGCAGAGAGTTACACTTAGTTAAAAAATACACACACACACACACACACACACACACACCAGATATAAACACACACACATATATACATTGAATTTTTATGGAATTTATTTTATGCTTCAACCACATACAACCCTCTAAACTCCGAGCCTGCCTTTGAAGAGGTGAGAGAGTGTAATGGAGGGAGGACAGCGTGCCACGGGCCCAGAAGCAGAGTGAAAAATCACCCGGGGTCCAAGCACCTGGCACACGGCCTCCAAGAATTGGAGCTAACTGACCTTGAGGCGCAGTTATTGATGCTGTTTGAGACAAGGTGACCACCTGGTGAGAAATTTCGTTTTGGCTTTGGCCATTTAAAGCCAGTGATGGATTTAGTGATTGAGCATTTACAAAAAAAAGAAGGAAAAGTCCCCCTCAGGACGCACAAGGAAAGGTAAATTTGATTCTCGGTAAATTAGCACACACTTCACGCACTTCTTCCTGACAGCAAAGATTTCTTTCTCTGTTTCCATTTAGTGCCGGCTGGGTTGCTATGGCAACCGGGGGAAAAACCCAAGTCTCCTCCATTGTGAACACTGCAGCCTCCAATCGACATATTTGGTTGCACTTTAATTGCAAATTGGTTTTGTACCTCTTTCTTCTTCTTCTTCTTCACATTCTAGAGCAGTAGTTCTCAACCTTCCTTATGCTATGACCTTTTAATACAGTTCCTCATGTTGGGGTGACCCCCAACCATAACATTATTTTCGTTGCTACTTCATCACTGTAATTTTGTAATTTTGCTACTGTTAGGAATCGTCATGTAAATATCTGATATGCAGGGTGTATTTTCATGGTTACAAATTGAACATCATTAAAGCATCGTGATTCATCACAAATGCAATATGTAATGATATATTGTGAGATATTTGTTTCTAATGACAAATCAATGAAATGTTGTCTTGAAGCATGGTGTAGCATGGGTGACAGTCTTCATGCCAGTACTTGTATGTGGACGTATCTGCATGTGGGCGGACCCACCTGGAGACGATAGAGGAGGGATGACTCGGTTCCTAAGACCATTGGAAATACGTGTTTTCTGCTGGTCTTAGGCAACCCCTGTGAAAGAGTTGTTCAACCCCCAAAGGGGTCTCGACCCACAGGTTGAGAACCACCGTTCTAGAATTCTCTACCTGGTCCATGGATACACAAAAGAGGAAGAATAATCCTACCTTAGTTCAGCATTACGTCCTTTTAGGCACATTTTATTTCATTTCACAATATTTTCTCTTGGAATGTCAAGATATTAATTTTTCCATGACAAACAGTTTCGGTTCCTAGTCAATAGTTCCTATACAAAGTGTTCCGTTACATTCTTTGCAGTGTACCAGTGGTCTCAATGTTGTTGCTCTGTTGTTGCCTTTTAATCACACGTTTTAAAAAAGACACATTTAGTTAAAGGGAACACCTTCCTTCAACACCCCTTCTCCTAATTCTCCATTTTTCTCCAGTAGTTACTGGTTGGTTGGTGTTCCCAACATTTTAGGCAAACATTGATACACATAGTTATGTGTAAGCACACACACATCTCCATCCATCCGTCTCTTGAAATGTACACAGGTTTAGAAGCATGAGTGAGATTTTGCTACAGGTTCTCTTCCGGGCCTCCTGTCTGTGTTGCTGTGCATACAGATCTCGGGGTCTTTCAGAGTCGGGAAAGAGGAATGGACACCCAGGACATTCCTTTAGCCCCTCCTTGGCGTTCCACATAGAGGTGGAGCAACGTAGTCATAGGGCTACAGATGGCAATTTAGAGTTTAGGTTTTTAATCTTTTAGTGTTATTTTAAAGTACTTGCAATACCACTCTTCATCTCTGCAATGATTTGAGCAAACTACATGAAGCGTAGAAACGAAATGTTTTGGTGAGACAGACGGCCAAATAGGGAACGGGAGCTTCAAGGAGTATTTGCTTGTTTACTTTGTCTTTAGATCTCACTAACTTGTCTTTCAATTTGGCTGTACCAGTTTAGAGCCCCATCCTTTTTACCGTGACAGTGCCCCGTTTTCCTTACCTAATGCCACCAAATGTAGACCACATCAACAATGCCAATTTTAGCAATTTCATGGGAGGGACGATCTCACTCATCTCACTGCCTTTGAGTCAATGCCAACCCATAGCGACCCCAGGGGGCAGGGTAGAACTGCGCTTGTGTGTTTCTGAGACTCACTATTTATGGGAGCAGAAAGCTCCCTTGGAGCGGCTGGTGGTTACGAACTGCCAACCTTGTGGCTCGAAGCCCAATGTGTAACCTCTATGCCACCAGGACTCCCATTGGTTAGTTTATATTTCTCTGAAGACTGATCAAATAGCTGTTGTTAAGTTCCAGTGAGTCATTTCCAACTTGTCGCCGACTCAACCAACAAGAGGAAGGACGCAGTGCCTAGACCTGCACCGGCCTTACAACCGTTGGTCTGCTTAATCCTGCTGTTGCAGCTGTGCTGTCCATCCACCTCACTGAGTCTTCCTCTTCTCCCCTCACTTTCTAAAGCACGATGTCCTTCTCCAGGGACCAGTCTCTTCTGACAACACGTCCAAAGCATGCAAAATGAAGTCTCTTCAACCTTACTTCTAAGGAGCATTTTGATTGTGCCTCTTCCAAGACAGGTGTGCTTGTTCCAGCAATCCACGATACTTCCCATAGTCTTCTCCAACACCCACATTCAAATGCATCAGTTCTTCGGCGGCTTTCCTCCTTCCTTGTGCAGGCTTTACGTGCAGAGGAGGCCATTCAAATACGAAGGCTTGCTTGGATCAGGCACACCTTCGTACTTAAAGTTCCATCTTTGCTCTTTGACACTCCAAAGAGGTCTTTGTAAAAGAATCATTTTATTGGGGGCTCATACAACTCTTATCACAATCCATCCATCCATCCATCCATCCATCCATTCATCCATCCATTGTGTCAAGCACATTTGTATATTTGTTGTTATCATCATTCTCAAAACGGTTTCTTTCTACTTGAGTCCTTGGTATCAGCTCCTCATTTTTTCCCCTCCTGCCCTCCGGAACACTTGATAATTTATAAGTTCTTATTTTTTTCATGTCTTACACTGTCCAATATCTCCCATCACCCACTTTTCTGTTGTCCGTTCCCCAGGGAAGGGGTTATATGTAGATCACTGTGCCCGGTTACCCCTTTCTCACCCACCTCCCCTTTCCCCTCCAGAAGACAGGGTACATTTACATCAACATTTGAAAAACAAACAAACAAATAAAACTAAATCAACACTTAAGGATCCCTTGGTTTCATTTTCATGAAATGTCTTTTTGCTAAAATATATATAAAATTCCTTCCCACCTTAGTCTTGCCTTTGGGTACATAATAAATCCCAGAAGCCCGTAAAAGAAAATAACGCCTTTTCCAAGATTTCTTTCCGTCTTCTTTGAGGTACAGAGCTCCTTCGATTTCCGGCACAATCACAGATGTGCCACAGAAACTTTCCTGCAATGGAGATAGTGATGGCATGAAAGACACAGACGACACAAATGCACACTTCTGTTCACACTTACATAGGCCGTGCAAGACGTGTCTCCCCTTACAGGTCACTTCTTGTCTATAATTCCGAGTGAAGAATTATGTTTAAGCGATGTGCCGTTTTGCAATAAAGAAGGGAGCGTAACAGAGTGGCGAAGAGCCCCAGCTCCCGGACCGATGTGACGGCCAGTGGAAGGCCTCTCTTAGCTCTGTGACTGTGAGCTAGCCTTTGCAAGAGGGAAGAATAGTAGCCCAACCTTGTTAGAAAGGAATCATCATGTTATGTTGTAAAATCAAGGTGCTGCTGTGACTAAGGCTTTGGATTGGGCTGTTAAATCAATGGTTCAAACCCACTAGTTGCCCTGAGGGAGAAAGACGAGGTTGTCTATTCCGGTCAAGATTCAGTCTCAGAAACCCTAATTCAGGTTGTTAAAGAGTACGAATTGGCTTGATGGCGGTGGGGTTGCTATTGCCATTATGGAGGCCCTGAGTGGTGCGCTCATTCAGCTATGCACCGGAGGGTTATAGCATGGTTAACCCAGTTCTACTCTGACACACTGGGCTTTGCCATGAGTTGGAATCAACTCAACAACAGCTGTTTGCTTTGTTTTTCACTGTTAGCCGCAGTTGGCAAACTGCGAAAGAGTTACTTTTCTGGAAAATCCAACGTCAACTAATACAAGAAACCCAAACCCAAATGCGATCTGTTCAGATTCACAGTGACCCTACATAGGGTTTCTGAGAACATAAATCCTGATGGGTGCAGGGGCCCGAGCTTCCTCCTGCGGACGAGCTGGCGGGTTGGCCCTGTCAATCTTCTGCTTAGCAGTCGAATGCCTAACCCACAGTCACCAGGGGGAAATCAGACCCCTTTGGGCTCTATTAGGCCCATCTGTGACCTCTCACCTGGCACTCCTTTCCTCTGCAGGACGGGCTTTTAGCTTAGTGACAATGTAAAAAACTCATGTGGTGTTTCAGAATGCATCAACTATCAAAGGAATGGCTGGAACATGCCCCCAAGGTAACAGAGAAGGTATCTGCCCAGTAATCCATACACTGTGTTTTCACGACCTCCCTGGAGTCTTCTCATAGCCCAGCATTGCTGGGTGTCCTGGGGCAGACTTTGACTCAAGGCAACCCTACGTGAGAGAGGAGAACAGTTCCCTAGCGGATTCGAGGCTGTTGTCTTCATGGTAAAATCATCAGGTCTTTCTCCCACGGAGCCACTGTGTGGATTTGACCCGCCAGCCTTTAGCTTTGCAGCCAAATACCAGAGTTCTGGAACAATTTAATCTGATTGGTGATTTTCTTATCACTGTGTGTGTCTGAGGAAGCTGAAGCTCAGGGGGGACTTATCCAGCATCCCAGGAACCACACTGAACCCAACTCTCGGTCTTCCTGCCACAGCTGGCTGCTGGGAGAGCAACTTACAATTCACTTTGAAAACCCTTCATCTGCCCTCAGTGGAGCATGTAGGGAATGAAATCTGTCAAGTGGTGGGAGGGGAATTGTATGAAGATTCTTGAGTCGTTTAGTCACGAAACTCAAAATAGATGGTTTAAAAGCCCTCACTTTCACAACTGACTCAAAGAAACAGCTCCATTATCGAAATCACGGCATTTCATGAGAACCTGATTTTAAAATAGTAAAGTTTCATGGTGTGCCTCGGTATTTGTTTTCTCAGAAGCAAATTCTTAAAAAAATTTTTTTATTTTAATAGATCATTTCATTGGGGGCTCTTACAGATCCTGTAACAATCCATACTTCAGTTGTATCAAGCACACCTGTAAATGTGTTGCCATCATCGTGCCCGAAGGGAGAGTGGAATACACTGGGGAGCACCAGCGAGGAGAAGGAATGTCCCTCAGCTCCCACCTCCAAGAGGGGAATCACATGATGCAATCCACGTAGGAGGCCAAAGTCTCATGGAAGGGATCTTCTGTTTTATCAAGAGAAGCTTGGAATCTGGACTTTTGTAAAAGCAAGCAACTAGTTTTCTTTTTCCAAGACCAGTAGTTTTAGTTTACAGAAACATTGTACAGAGGGTGGTATCTTTACCCCCCACCACACACACAACTCACAGTTTCCCATATTAGTACTTCTCTCGCACACCTGTGTTTTCTGTTCCTGGAGAGTTAAAGTTTCCTTCAGAAACCCCCAGGAGCAGTTCTACCCTGGCCTTGTGACCCTTCTGTGAGAATATGTACAATCGTCTACAGATGGGCTTTGGGTCTCCATTAAGACCCCCCTTGTTCACATCAAAATGGTTGTTTGTTTGGGGTCTTCTGATGCCTGATACTTGATCCCATCGACACCTCATGATCACATGAGCTGGTGTTATTCTTCCATGTGGGCTTGTTGCTTTCTTGTTGGATGTCACTCGTTTAACTTCAAGCCGTTAAGATCCCAGACGCTATATCTTTTTTTTAATTAATTAATTAATTAATTTATTTTTTTGGCTATATCTTTTTTTTTTTTTTTTTAACATTTTATTAGGGGCTCATACAACTGTTATCCCAATCCATACACACATCAATTGTGTAAAGCGCATTTGTATATCGTTTCTCAAAACATTTTCTCTCCATTTAAACCCCCGACATTAGGTCCTCATTTTTCCCCTCCCTCCCCGCTCCCCCCGGCTATATCTTTTAATAGCTGGTGCCATCAGCTTTCTTTACCAAATTAGCTTGTGCACCTTTTTTGTCTTCAGCGATCGTGTCAGAAAGGTGAGCATCACAGAATGCCAGGTTATTAGAACAAAGTGCTCTTGCGTTGAGGAAGGACTTGAGTAGAGGCCCAATGTCCGTCTGCTACCTTAATACTTAACCTATAAATACATGTACATAGACCTATATCCCTATGGCTATATATTGATATACTTCTGTATGTACATGCCTATGTTTCTACCTCTATAAATGTCTTTAGAAGCAACTACTTTTTTTAAAAAAAAGATAGACTTGATGTCCTTTTCTTACAACAGGAAGCTTACCTCAAGTAAGGATTCCTTGTTCTTGGCATTCATTTTCTCATTTGTTTCCTTGCTGTCTTTCTTCCCTCTGTTATCCAAGTAAAAGTTCTAAAATGCAACGTTAAAAGATCAGATCAGGAAGGGTTCCTTAGCATGCAGGGTGAGGCAAGGAACTCACAGCCTTGCTGGGGAGAGAAGGCTTGCCTGTAGAAAAGAAACAGGAAGTCACAGTGTATGAATGGCTGGCTTACTGAATGCTTACTCTGGTGACACAGAGTCAGGAGTAAATGATTCCCTCCCTCTGACCGTTCACAAGCAAGGAGAAAATATTAGCAGACCGCAGCAAAAGATCTAAATTCAGTCACCCGCCAAATCTGGGCTTCTCCAAGGGTGATAGTCAGACTGTCTTGATGCTTAAGAAAATGCACATTTCTGGGTCCAACCAACTGAACTGGAATCTGTGGAGCCGGGGCCTGGAAATGAGCATTTTAGGAAGCCTGCAGGATGGTATCACTGTGCACTGACTCTTGAAAATGGAACTCACTAAGTCGAAAGAAAGCAAAGCAAACCACCAGTGCTGTGCGATTACAACCCTTATCTGCAGAAAAGACATGGTATGTCCTCCACAAGCGAGAAACTGAATGCTTTACGATTCAGAAATTGTACTGCTAGAGATCTAGTAACAGAGATGTGGACAGATTACACACACCTATGTTCATTGCAGCACTATTCAGAATAGCAAAAACGATAGAAACAACCTAGGTGCATATAAATAGGTCCATGCATTCCATGGAATACTATGTAGCAATAAAGAATAAAGGGTACTTGAGACATCGAGTCATGTAAATGAATCTGGATGACATAATGCAGAATGAAATAAATCAACCAAAAAAGGACAAATATTGTATGATTGCACTTTATAGGAGCCCTGGCGGTGCAGTGGTTAAGAGTTGGGCTGCGATCCGCATGGTCGGCAGTTGGAAACCACCTGCAGCTCCTCAGGAGAAAGACTGGGCTTTCTACTCCCGTTAACAGTTAACAGTCTTGGAACCCACAGGGGGGTCGCTATGAGTCAGCATCGGCTAGAGTGCAGTGAGGCGATGCACTTTTATAAGAAGACACAAATAGCTAGAAGGGATCAACGCTTGATGGTTACTGGCAGACGGAAGGAGGGGTGAGGGTGAGGGAAGCTCTGGTGAGAGAGTAGACATTTATTGTTTTTGGTGATGAGAAAGATAGCAATGGGCAAGCTAAATAATGTCACTAGAACATTGCAAAGGTAAGGGCACTTTGGTTAAGGGTATGACAAATAGAATTTTGCAACAATACTAACAGCCACCAGAAAAGCTGTGTATGGGCATGAATATGTAGGCATGTGGGTACATACCTTGCATATCTCTATCTCATCTATCTTTGTCATCCAGTCACTTCTGACTCACTGGAAGCCTGGATACATCTACATTCATACCTATATAAAGTGCATAAAGGACACGGGTACTGAGAATTCCTAGACATAACCATACACTTTGCAAGATTGCTTCTCTGGGTTTTACAAGACCCCATGGAACAACTCATAGCCACAAGGCACAACTCAGGTTACTGGCATAACATAATTCATAAAGGGTGTGGTCGTTCCATAATTTGAGACTTAAGAGTGAAGGGGTGGAGTTTAACCTGTCAATCAGGTCGCAGCTTGATGACCTCATTTGGAGGTACTAAGGGGATAAATAGCTAGCTCCCTGGAGGCGGGGCAACACTCCCTCCCTGCGAGACATTACTGAGGACAAGCCTGATGGAGCTAGTATCAGCCAGAGCCCGGAGCTGGAGGAGCCACATGGAAACCCACGCCAGTGCTGAGATGCTTCTACTGCCATTTGATCCACAAAACTTTCCACCCACTGACCTGTGATCTTCCTGTATTCAGTGTCATTGCATGTGTTACGTGTGTCTGAAGAGGAATTTATGGATTGGTATCAGACATATGGGCTAATATCGGACTTATGGACTTGATCTGGACTGGGCTGGGATGTTTTCTCAATATACAGTTGCTCTTGTATATAGAGCTCTTTCTTATACACATAAGAGTGTGTTCATGAATTTGTTTTCTCTAGTCGACCCGGACTAACTCAAATGTATATTGTACATCCCAATGTAGTGTCTGGGTTTATAAACATGTGAGTGGCCATCTGAGACACAATAATTGGTGTCTATTTCAGATCAAAGTAGAAAGAAGAAAACCAAAGGCACAAAGAATAAGGTGACCAGATTTTAACATTGGTAAGGTGGGACACTATTGATAAAACTCATATCCTGGTGAAATAGCCACATGGCAGCCCAAAACCGTGTACCCTAGCTTGTCATGCATTCTTTCCAAAATTCGGGACTTTTTTAAAACGCCGTAAGACACGGGACAAATTGTTAAAAATCGGGACTGTCCTGCCAAAAGCAGGACATCTGGTCACCTTAACAAAGAAGAAAGTGTCCACAGGACTCACAGTTGGCTTGTGAATCACAGCCTCATTTATCTTGAGGCCGGAAGAACTCCATGGTGTGTGAATATCACTCCCAACCTCTCTGATCAGGGACGTAATAGATAGACCCTGACCAAATGAGAGAAAGGTGTGGAACGGAACTCGCATTCCTGGAAATGCCCAGACTTACTGGGCCATTTGAGATGAGAAGACCTCCTGAGACATTCTCCTGGACATACTATTTCAACCTTACACTATAATTATTCCTTGAGGTCAAATTTCACATCATAACAGATTGGCTCATAGAGGAAAGTGAGTAATGAATCAGCTGCTGGGGAAAAAAAATCATCTATATGAAACCAAATGGCCAGGAAATTGCTCTAAAACAAAACATGAGAAAGTAGAAGGGCAGGGAAACTAGAGTTCTTGAAATGGTTTACTGAGAACCACAGGCGTGCGATTGAGGGCACATTGTGAAAGATGTAACCGATATTACTGAATGCTTTGTGCAGAAATTCTTAAATGGAACCCTGATTTGCTGTATCAAACTTCACCGTGAACATAATGAAACAAAGTTGTAAAAAAGAAAGATAAAAGGTTAGGAAGATAATGTTACAGAATTAGATTACCTCTTCAAAACAGAATGCATGAAAATGGTGATTTGTTAAACAGGGAAAACAAGTGAAGAAAAATTCCTTCCACTGTTCTTATTGAAAATAAATGTTCTTTGAATACATTTTCAAGTCCATTTTAACTTGTTTTTTCCCGGAAAAATTAAGTAACTCCCAGCTTCCTGCATCCATTCTTGAACAGAAAGAAATCCCATCTCTAGTCAGAAAATGTCTTCAAGCATCTCCTGTGGTGTAAGGAACTTCCGCCTCTGGTTGCTGTTACTTGAATCAGAATTGGCTTGCTCGTTCTGTATAAAGGTTTGGAAACCAAGTGAGTTCTTTATTTTGTAATGCAAAAGCAATAACTTAAAGCGCACCCACTTTGTGATATTGTCAGTCAGAATTACACAGGTTTTACCAAATTGTAACTTGTTTTTTCCCCTGAAAGGTCATTGGAGTGTTAATTAGTGTCATTATTTTCAGTCTAGGAAGCCCTTTTTGTTCGGCATCTTCCAATCAGTTCTGACTCACAGCACCTGCATGTACAACAAACAAAATACCGCTGGGTCCGGCAACATCCTCACACTTGTTTGTATGTTTGAGCCCATTGTTGCAGCCACGGGGTTGATCCACTTTGTCAAGGCATTTTCTTTTCCTCACTGCCTCTCCACTCTGCTGAGCGTGATGTCCTCCTCCAGGGACTGGTCTCTCCTCACAATAGGTCCAAAGCAGGTGAGACAAAGCCTCGCCATCCTTGCCTGGAAGGAGCATACTGGTTGGACTTCTTCCAAGACAGATCTAGTGGTTCTGTTGGCAGCTCACGGCACTTTCAGTATTCTTGGGCAGCACCATAGTTTGAATGCATCCCATTTTCTTTGGTCTGCCTTCTGTGGTCACCTTCACATGCATATGAAGCGACCGAAAACGCCAGGGCTTGAGTCGGGTGCACCTTAGTCCTCAAAGCGACACCCTTGATTCTCCGCACTTTCAAGAGTTCCTGTGCAGCAGCTTCACACGATACAATGCACCATTCTCTTTCTTGACTAGGCTTCCATGAGCATCGATTGTGAATTCAAGCAAGACAAGATCCTTGACAACTTCCTCTTCTTTTTTTTCTTCTTCTTTCCGTTTTTCATGATGTTAACTATTGGTCCAGTTGTGAGGATTTTTGTTTTCTTTCCCTTGAGTTGTCATCCATAGTGAAAGGCTGCGGTCCTTGATCTTCATGAGCGAGCGCTTCAAGTCCTCCTCCCTTTCAGCAAGCCAGGCTGCGTCAGCACGTATCCCACAGGTTGTTTGTTATAAGCCTTCCTCCAATCCCGATGCTGCCTTCTTCTTCATATAATCCAACTTCTCGGATTATTTACTCTGCACACAGATTCAATAATTATGGCGAGGGGCCTGCAACCCTAACACATACTTTCCTGATTTTAGACCACGCAGTATTCCTTTGCTGTTTGCGCAGCTGCCTCTTGTTCCACATACGAGTTCCAAATGAGCACCCTGACGACTTCTGGAACCCCCTTCTTCTCAAGGCCATTCGTAGTTGGTATGATTCACACAGTCAAATTCCCTGGCACAGTCAACGAAACACAAACATCTACCTTCAGACAAGACCCACCTGTCATCAGCAATGTTATCCCTTGTTCCACAGCCTCTCCTGGACTTCTGGCAGCTCCCTGTACTGCTGCTACTGTTGCTGGATGATCTTCAGCAAAATTTTACCCGCATTGATATCAGTGATATTGTTCTGTAATTTCAGCATTCTATTAGGTCACCTTTCTTTGGAAGGAGTATGCATATGGGTCTCTTCCAATTTGCTGGCCAAGTAGCTGTCTTCCAAAATCCCTGGCATAGATGAGTGAGTACTTCCAGTGCTTCAGCAGTCTGTTGAAAGACTTTAATTGGTATCCCATCAATTCCTGGAGCCTTGCCATGGCTAATGTTATCAGTGAAGCTTGAGCTCCATCCTTCAGTACTATTGGGTCTTGGTCATATGCCACCTCTTGGAATGGTTGAAGGTTGG